CCCCCCCCCCCCCCCCCCCTCCCTTAATTCCTCCTCCTTTTTTCTCACTCTAATCATATTTCTCCATAATCTCCGTCTATCTCCGTGTCGTTGTTGTCCATATATTCCTCCCTCCTTCACTTTCTTCTTTTCCTTGTCTTCTTCCTTTATCGGGCAGCTCCTCAGTCGATTACATTGATAAATGTTACATGACAAGAGACAAAAGTTCAAGGTATGAACCCCCAAAAAAACAAAACAAAAAAAACCCCCACAAAAAAAACCCCCATTATAAACATAAATTGTTTTTCAGGCCTTCTTGACAGCCTGGGTTCCGGTTTTGAAAGGTCTCGCCATGGAATAATCGTTATGATTATAATTATTGTTTTACGCCATTTTCGAAGCGATTTAGATGATTTGCACAAGGCGGGCTCTTTGACCCGAGATGTGTAGGGTGCAGCTTCCCATCAGAAGGACGAGCAGGATACTTGATTAAACAGACTTCTCCAACTGAGAACCGAAAGTAGAGTCGAAATTGCTTATGACAGCCACTCTTGGTCGATCTGAAAAAGTGGTTGTCTTAGACAGGTGGATGTCTTACACAGTGTTATTATAATGTAAAAATAAACAACTTTTGTAGGCGTGGGGAGGGAGGGGGGGAGATAAGCTGTGGCTGTGTGTACAGGTGATTGTCTTGCTCTTACACAGGTGGCCGTTAGAGAGCAGTTTCTGTTTCAACTGTATGTTTTCAGCGGGCAATGGCGAACAGTGTAACCATAACACCACAGTCGCTGGTGTCTTGCAATGTTCTCTAGAAGGTAGTTGTGTCAAGAAAACAACTCAACATGCTCTTTAATCTCCTCCTCGTCCTCTTCTTCCTCCTTCACCTGTTCCTTTTCCTTCTCCTGCTTCCACCGGTGTCTGTGGTGTAGCGGCAGTGGCGTGGCGTAGTGAAGGGCGAAAGGGCTTGAGCCCCACCCACCTCTCATCTCTTTCCCTCCGTAAATGAATGTTTCTTCTAATAAACGAGAGTTTCAGTTGAAACCGTTAGAACTTTTTCAAAATCTTCCGCCTCCGCCTTTAGTTGCATGCGGTGGACTCACACACTTGCTCGTTTATCCAATCACTGTAGTCACTGTTTACAACGATAGTAACCTAACAGCCAATCAAATGTGTTTAGGGATCAGAAAAGGATGAGCCCATTCCCACGGTCCTTTCTTAATCAAACTCTTCTTGCAAAAAAAGGTTAAAGAAAGAAACGAGAGCCCGCGGAAACTGCTGTTAGACAGGGCTCGTTCTCTGCCAGCCCAGACAATGGGGGTGGGTGGGGGTGGGGAGTTCATAACACACTTTTCCCAGAGACCCAGTAATCAAAACATGCTCATGAGCCCTCGTTTTAGGAATGCCTTGCTTTCTGCGACCCCATGGCCTAATCCAGTTATTGTTGTATGTGTGCGTTTGCGTGTTTAATTTATTTATTATTTTTTTTTTGGGTAAGTGTGTTACGGTGCTCGCAACTGCATACGGTCACATGAGCGCGTTTGCGTGTGAGTGTGGGAATGAAACATACTAATACATCAGGAATATCATCTGAACCAAGAAAATCTTACATTTGAACTCAACCTACCCTGATTTCTCAGCCCCACCCACATTTAGAACTACCAACCGCCACTGTGTAGCAGCGCTTCGCTGGCGCACACAGGAGACTAGAGTTCAATTCCAAAGCGGGGAGAAGATGTTTTATTGAGCACCTTGATTTTCTGCTGGGATATGTTGTATCTGTATCCCTCTCAGCCTGAGCTGGCACCGACATGCAGGGTCAGAAGCCCACCTCCTACATGATCTAAATTGTATTTGTATGGATGGGGGCGTTAAAAAAAACCCAAACTTCACCCTCCAAAAAACAACAACAACAAACAAACAAACAAACAAACAAACAAACAAACAAACAAACTACATAAAAAGAAAATTAAAGATCTTACACGACTTTCACCTACATGTATATATCAATCCTCTTCTCAGCTGTTGCTCTTCTTCTTTTTCTTCTTCTTCTTCTTCTTCTTCTTCTTCTTCTTCTTCTTCTTCTTCTTCTTCTTCTTCTTCTTCTTCTTCTTCTTCACCAGTGATTCTATTTCGATGCAATGCTTTTTACATTAATTGGGACGTCTTGATCCGATATGAAAAAAAGATTATGCAATTCTGAAACATATTATGTGCGTCAATATGCCATTGATATCTGGTAGATCTATGCAAATTACTGAGGTGAAGGGTCGGAAAGTAGAGTCCACAACTTTCCGATGTTCAACACAACCGCAATAGAAACTTTGATTAAATTTTGGCATCTCTTGCTATGGTAGCAATTTGGGAAGACAGCACGTCATAAAAGAATAAAACAAAACAAGTTGACCAGAAATGCTCCAAGAACAGAGACCTAAGCAAATTTGAATATCTGCACAAAGTAAACGTTCTGAAAAAAAAAGGCTGAAATAATACCAATAAGTGACCATAGTCACCCACTGACATCGGAATTTCAATTATCGACCACCAGTAAACGATACATTTCCAAAAAAAGCAAGAACGAACAGATAGAGAAATTCATTCGTACCAACTGCAGTGAGATTATTACTGAACACACAGTGCTACAAATAACACACACACACACACACACACACACACACACACACACACACACACACACACACACACTCACACACACACATACATACATACATGAATATATACATACATACATACATACATACATACACACACACACACACACACACACACACACACACACACACATACACACAAACATACATACATACATACATACATACATACATACATACATACATACATACATACATACATACATACATACATACATACATACATACATACATACATACA